TAATAACTGAAATTATACATTAATATGAAAATATTCAAAACAATCAGCGTGCAGATGTACTTTACATTTTTTGCTAAAGTATATTCAGTATATTGTATGGCTTTTGCAGACTTTGCACTTTTTTCTCAAATTGGCTTCTGATTTTTTTATTATATGCCCTATGTTGTCGAGTCTTATCTCTTGCGGTAAACTTTGCCTCGATGTTCTACCGTGAGAAGAAGAAGGGTTAACATTTGTTAATTCAGATTGGCCTTCGAATTTCATCAAACTTATAGCCAATGAGGAGCGAAAATGTAATTGCGACATTTTAGATCTGTTTGCCATTTTAAAANCCGAGTAGGGCTGTCTAGAACGTTTGGTCACTTTACTATGGCACGTTACCTTTTCGAAACTTGAAAGTACCATAACTCTATTTCTTTAAATGGCACCCCCCATATTTTATTACTTAGTCGTCTTCGGTGTCTCATTTTACATCTTTTATATCCCATATGTCCTATACCTAACATTTATGGTTTGGGAGATGATTAGGGTTTTTTTGAAAAATGCACACACATCATATCGATATCTATATTTAACCTAATGTGTCATGAATACCTAGTGCGACCTAGTGAATAACCGAATGAAGTGGAGGTTTGAAAATTTCCAGACTTGTGATGTTTGATGCCAGCTTTTTAACTAAAGTATTTTCAGGTTCCAGGTTCTTGTGGTTACACCGGAAGAGGTGACAATTTTCATATTTCAAATGGAAGACCCTGAGTTTTATAACATTTTTCAATGTCAACTACAACGTTACTTTTTATAATTTATAAATCATCTACTTTGACCGCCGGAAAAAAATTTGTGTTGGGAATGTTGTTGTGGTTATGTATTATCAGAGGATCAGTAAGCAAAAGCTATGGTTTATTTCTGTTGGTGTGATGACTAGGTTACTTTTTGTAGTGATCTGTTCTCAAGAAATGCCACGTTTGGAATTTAGTAATGAGGATTATTTGAAGTTGATAATAATTTATGGAGAGTGCAACCAAGTAATTGCGCGTACGTATCGGTTGCAACATACAAGTGGCCTAAAATTGAACAAAAATTAAAAAAATGTAATGAAATACAGGGTATTCCATTTGAAAAATGAAAATTGTCACCTCTTTCGGTGTAACTGCAAGTACCCGGAACCTGAAAATATTTTAGTAAAAAGCTGGCATCAAACATCAGAAGTCTGCAAATTTTCAAAAGGCCACTTCATATTTTTTTTTACCATTCGTTACACATATAGTCAATTTTTGCTTGACGAACTCAGTATTTTCATCGTGTTGGGAGTTGGGAAACGGCACTAGTGACACCATTACCAAAGAAGACATTCCCCAAGACATATAATGAATTGAGACCAATTAGTATTTTGCCGGAAATATCAAAGGTAATTGAAAAAGTAATAATGTATATAAACCCAGACAAGTCTGTGGTGATGCTATTTGGGAGACAAAAAACACGTATGAAGTATGCTACCTGTTTCTTCGTAAATATTAACAAGAAACCAATAAAGGTCAGTGACACGTCTCGCAACTTGGGTTTAATGCTTGATAGCGATTTAAGATTCCGTGAACATATTACTAGTAAAGTTGGGAAATTGTTTGCTACTCTGAAAATGATATATGCTAGTAGATATTTGTTGACGACATCAAATAAGATAAGATTATGCGACAGTTTAACCCATTTATGGCCACGACTACAAAAATGCGTTTTTATTTTTAAAAATTGATTGAGTATTTCTTAAACTATCTTAAATAAGATAATTTTGAAGTATGATCTAAAAAAAATCAATTATGCTTTAAATAAATGGGGGTGCGTATACGCACCTTTGGCAAATAATCGTGTCATTTAGAAAAAAAATAATTTATTCTAACTTTGGAAAATAAGAGTAATTTAATAACTGAAATTATACATTAATATGAAAATATTCAAAACAATCAGCGTGCAGATGTACTTTACATTTTTTGCTAAAGTATATTCAGTATATTGTATGGCTTTTGCAGACTTTGCACTTTTTTCTCAAATTGGCTTCTGATTTTTTTATTATATGCCCTATGTTGTCGAGTCTTATCTCTTGCGGTAAACTTTGCCTCGATGTTCTACCGTGAGAAGAAGAAGGGTTAACATTTGTTAATTCAGATTGGCCTTCGAATTTCATCAAACTTATAGCCAATGAGGAGCGAAAATGTAATTGCGACATTTTAGATCTGTTTGCCATTTTAAAAATTTTCCAGCTGTCGACTACTACGCTTTCTATCATGTTGATAAACAATGGCCACCACCATTTTTTCCCTCTTATTTTGATTCTGTTATTAGCAATGCCATTGTCGTGAAGATCAACTCCTCCCATGTATTTATTATAGTCTGCTATTACGTGGGGTTGTGGAATTGTTTCTTCTTTATGTTCTTTTCTGTTATACCGTGTAGCCTGGGCAAAAGGGAGTACTTTACAAACATTGGTAATTACTGTGACGACCGAATTGTCGTTCCACTGTACCACTAATACTTCCAAATTGGGATCAAATACACAAATATACGAACCTCGTTATTTTTTCTTCATAACTTTCTTTGTTTCGATTGAACAGTTTGCCAGCCGATTATCTCGCACTGGTTTCGTTTATGATAAAATAAATATATTTCTACCATGTTTAAAACAACATTTTGGGAAGTGTTTGCCATAGAAACAGTTTTGTTATAATTAATGTATAAACAAATTTTGTTATTTTTTCTAAGTCAATGCTGTTGCACCCGAAATTAGCAATACTTTATATTTTTTTTTAAATATAATACAGTGCATTTTGTTAACACTAACAATTTTACAAGATTCTTTAGACTTAATACTAATGGTTTAATGAAATAAATAGCAAAAATTTGTTTTAATTTAGATTGAAAAAAAAAAAAAATACGAAAAGGTGCGTCTACGCACCTTTGGCCGTTAATGGGTTAATACTTAGTTATTTTGATTATGGTAGTACTTTATATGGTCCTTGTCTTGATACTGATACGGCATGTCGAATACAGCGTGTACAAAATTCCTGTGTACGAATGATTTATAAACTTAGATGACGAGAACATGTTTCTCATATGTTACAGGTTGCTGGCTGGTTAAACATGGCTAATAGAAGAAAGTTTAGATTGTTTACTTTTTATCATAAACTTTTAATGTTGCGAGAACCACGTTATTTAAGTGATAAGATAAGGTTCAGAACGGATATCCACAATCTAAATGTTAGAAATAAGGGTCTAATTTCTCCTCCGCAGCATGCAACAGCACTATTTCAAAGATCATTTTCTTTCACCCTCCCGAAGCTTTACAATCCCCTACCGGGAACTTTGAAATCGGCACCACCAGCAGTATTTGCACGCAACTTGAGATCTGTTTTATTCAGTGAACAGACTTTGTTATGATGAGTGAGCACTATAATTAAAATTTTAACGTAAGATGTAGGCAAGATATAGAAAAGGGAATATTTTTGTTTTGTTTTTCCGTATTATAGATTAGTTTTCTTTAGTTATTTTTAGTTTATAACTCTTTGTCTTTTGGTTTTATTTTTAAGAATACTTGTTTTTTTTTTCATTTGTTTATTAATTTTCTGTTTTTTTTTGGTTTATGTTTGTGTATAAAACAGGGTTGAGTGGAAGAGAAGGACTTAGGTCCTTAACTACGCCCTGTATGATTTCAATTAATAAAAGGCATTATTATTATATGGTTGTACACTAGGTCACACTAGGTATTCATGGCACACTACGTTAAATATCGATATATGTGTGAATTTTTTAAAAAACCCTAATTATCTCCCAAACTATAAATGTTAGGTATAGGACATATGGGATATAAAAGATGTAAAATGAGACACCGAAGACGACTAAGTAATAAAATATGGGGGGCGCCATTTAAAAAAATGAAGTTATGGTATTTCCAAATTTCGAAAAGTTAACGTGCCGTAGTATAGTGATCAAACGTTCTAGACAGCCATACTCGGCACCAAAACATACTCCATCACGTTGCTTACGCATGTTCTGAATCCTAAATTGATATCCCAAAAATCGAGTGTTCTCTGATTTTTTGAACAAATGTCTGCTGGAGCAGATTTTTCTAGAATAATTCGAATAACTCGAGAACGGCCGAATCAAATTGCAAAAAGTAAAGTTAGTCATAAACCTCGAAAACAGACAAATCCAAATATGTAAAAATATATAGGGTGTTCCATTTAAAAAAATAGAGTAGGTGGCGACTTCCGGTATAACCGGAAGTGCTAGAAATCTAAAAATATTTTAGTCGAAGAGAACGCAATTAATAATACTTAAATCTGAATTTTCAAATTTTTGTTTTGGCCAGAACCCTGTAAAGTTTTAATGGACGGTCGTCGTGGATGACCCTGTATAGAGTTATACAGAGTTATACAATTGCGATTAGTTATGTAGAGACAGTTCTCTACATAACTAATCGCAATTTATATGTATTAAGTTTAAGTGTAATTAATATAATAAAGTTTATGGAAACGTAAAACCAAGATTTTGTTGTTAACCTGCACCCACCAGATAAAAATAAATGATCACTATACTTATACTAGACTTATTGCTAACGTAGTCATACGTTAGTCATATTAGCCATACTTTACAAGGGGGGTAAGGCATCAGGTATAAATTTTAGGTTATCTTTAGTTCATAGATGGTAAATAACATTTTAGTCATTGTGCGTCGAAAACCTAAGAAAAAATCGTATTACACCCAAAAATATGCGTTTTAACCAAATGTGCAGCGAAAATATACAGGGTGTAAATTACGTCACAAAAAATGACGTCATGTTGAAACTTTAAAGTGATTTGTCGGTAAGTTCTACACTTTTCCGCGCTTTTTCTTTATTTGTAACAGCTTACTTGAGTGATTTCCCGTCGATTAAAATTATCGATTTTTAAGCGACATAATGATTGTTGAATTATATGCATATATGTAATGTTTTAAATTTAAATAATTACCCGCAACGAGTAAAACCGGTTGCTTTTCCGCGTGCAATTCCATTTGCCTCGCAACGTATTGCCCATCGAAGTGTGCATACCACCATCCTCGTTTACCAGTCGGATCTTGAGGCGAAGAAATCGTCGCGGGTCTTACAAACGGTATACGAAAATACCTTTGGCTGTTATCGTTATTTAGGATGTTTTGTTTTTGTTGGATCTTTGGCGTTTTAGCCGCTGCGTCCATCACGGAACGTGGGGCCCTCTCGTTTTCATCCATCGTCGTTCGTTTACGATTCTTTGCTTTCCATGCGTGATAGACTTTTAAGCGACGATGAAATTCATGCCGACAAGCCTAAAATTTTATTTTTTATTACTAAATTCATTTATATTTCAATTTTATTTTACCTCTAATAATTCAATATCACAAGATGTATTGATCGTATCTCTTAATTGGGAATATTTCCACTTGGATAAATCGTATTTACCCTTGCTTAATTCCGCTTGTTTGTTTTGAACGGCTTCCGATCTAGATATAAAATGTTAATTAAGATTTGATTTATTTTGACGTTGCAACATTTATTTATTTTTTGATTGTGTCTTTTTTGTGTGGATGTACCTGATGAGTTTGTAGGATTGTCGTGTTGTGTCCACGGTTCCGCTGAGGCATGAAATAAAGAAGCACACATATTTAACGATCACCAAACAAATAAAAAGCTAAGTGTAAAACGGAACACCCCAAAAGTTATTTTATGGTTTACGTACTTTCTAATCGGTACGGGACTCTCTTCGAGTTGCCCATTACTTTCTTGTGCCAATCTCAAAGCTAATTCATGATCTTGCCGTTCTTGTTCTAGTTGTTGTTGCAATTTCATTTCTTCATCGGCCTCTCTCTCTCGTTGAATTCTCAAAGCCTCCGCGGCTTTTCTTTCGGCTTCTTCTTGAACGCGACGTTCTTCTTCTTCTTTTTTTCTGCGCGTTTCCATCTCGGCTTTTTTTCGCCGATTTTCCTCCTCTTCTTTGCGTAATCGTTCCTCCTCTTCTTTTCGTTTTCGCTCACGTTCCATTTCCTCTTGTAATTTACGGATGCGTTCTTGCTCTTCGGCGTTCTTTTGGTCTTGAACGCGTTTGTGTAAAGTCGCCATTTGGGCGTTAACTTTATTCACTGCTTGTACATAAAGGTTTTCAACGTCTTTCACGGTGATTTTATCGTTGTTTTTGATGGTTTGCGAGGCGTTTTGGAGGTCTTGTTTTAAATTGTTGATTTCTTTTATGCTTGCGTCTTTTTCTTTTTTTAGTTGGGACGCGATCGATTCCAATTCGATCATTTTTTGGTTGAGCGCGTTGATTTTTCTGAATACTTTTAATCTCGCCGCGTAACGCTTTTTCACTAAATAACCTCGAACGTGTTTTTGCATTGTTATTAAGGCTTGTCTTCGATAAAGGATTTTATACTTCACTAAAAACAAATTCATTAATTTTAAATAAAAATAATTAAATTAAATTTTACATTTAATTGTTGTTAAAACTGTGAATTGCGCTTTCCACCAGCGCGATTTCACCAAGAATTGTTTCAAGTTTCCAATCATCCATTGTAAGTTTTCAGGGTCTGATTTAATAATTTTATCAAACTCTGCATACTTTCCCGGTCTAAAGAACACCTTGGTGATTCCAAATTTATAATCTTTCTCGTATAAACGAAGGCTGTGAATAATCGCTTCGCAAAAAGCTCTCGGATTTAACCCTTTAAGTTCTTTCGGTAAATATTCTTGATACATCGTATGGAGCTCATTGAAAGGAGCCCTACTCGGATAACCATGCTCCATCAGTTCCAAAACAACCGTCATCCCAGAGCTTTTTAATTGCATCAAACTTAGGGGGCCATCAAATTGCCTATCGATCATTTTAGTATTCGGCTTAACACACCTAATAAAATTCGTTCCATTTTGCCTCAATTTTTCCATTAACTCGGCTAATTGCGTTTTAAATTTATTCCCAACGCTAATAAAACTCAATTTTCCCTTTTGCGTATTTGACATTGCAAATAAAGATTGGATTAATTTATTTGAACTATCCTGAATGATCCCTTCCAAAGAGGCGTGTAAAGCATCGTTATTTTTTTCGATAAACTGCTTCGTTTGATAACAAACAGCTCCTGCGAAGTGCCGAATTAAAAAACCTTCATCATCACGCAAACTTCGATGTGCTTTTAACCGCGACGATCTCGGTAGAGCTAATCTAAAATGATTTGGCCATTTCGCGTGCAATTCGGTCGTAAAATGCGTGTAAAGCGGCTTTGGTAGTTTTGATTCTTCATCAAGTATTGTAAAGATTCCGTTTGATTTATTTTCGATTAAATCTAAAACAAGGCTAAATAAGAATCTCCTAAATCACTTAATACTTTTAATTTACCGATACAATCTTGATTATCAGCGTATTTAATTTCAGGAACATTCAAACCTTCTCGTTTATAAACTTCTTGTTCGTATTTCAAGATGATTTCGTTAAAAAATTGTTGCAGTTTCTCGTTACAATAATTAATGCAGAATTGTTCGAAACTATTTACAGTAAAGAATTCTAAAACAAAACGATTAATTAATTAATTTATAAATTTTTTTTTAAAACGTTAAACGTCATTTTAATTAATGCCGGTAAAGTAGTTATCTTACGTCAAATAAACTGTCAAAAAATACTCAAAAAAATTAATTATTTACCAAATCCTGCAATATCTAAAACGCCAATATAATAACTAGAAGCTTGGAAAGGAATACTTTTATTGATTCTCATCACAATGTAATCAAATAATTTACTATAAACGGCTTTTGCTAAAGCATCCCTTGCATTTGTTGCTTCATAAACTTTTAAAGGTACCCTAAAACCAAAATTATTAGATAATTAATTAATTAATTCGGTTTTTATTACATAATAACAGTTCCTTTAAGTCCCCCTCTCGCACTTTGCATAACTCTTGATGTTAAAGCTTGTTTTAATTCAACATGATCGATCCCTAATAATTTCGAGGCGATTATCAACGATTTTTCTTTCGATTGTTTAACTCTGCAACCCCCTCGAGTATCATCTGGGTCATCTTCAAACTCAACATTTCCTAAATGAAGAACAGCAGCGACCATGACATAAACTTGTGTACGTTCCTCTTCGTTTAGACCAATGCGACCCAGCGCTAAATCTAGATTGTTAAAGTCTTCGACGTCGTCTAATAAGTTATCTTTAAGGGGACCTTGACTTGAATGCGCCGAACTTTTTTGGGGGGAAGATAAATTCTTTTCGCTTTTTGAAGATGTAAAATAGCGAGTGCAACCATGTTTAAGATACTAAAATAGTTATTTTTTTATAGAAAATTTTGCTGTCGTGTATCAAACATTTTTTCGAAAACTGCGTGTTCTAAAGTTTATAAATTAATAAAATGACCAAATTCAGTATAATGACGTTTAGAATTCATTTAATGTAATATTGAACAAATGTACCATTATAAATTTGCATTTAAACATGACATGAAATGCTAAAACAATTAAATGTTGATTATTTTGTGTTTATAATTTCTTCATAACAATAAATTAACAATTAAACCACGTTATGCATCACTTGATTAAGCGACAAATGAATAATGTTGAGAAAAACGGGATTTTCGTTTTCATCTCTCTAGAAATATAAGACTTCTCGGAATAGACAGGCTCAAACTATTGAAAATTGTTTGGTGCCTGTCCATTTTTATCACAGAACACTGATGACAGCTATCGTTACGTTTTACGATTATACAGGATCTTTCTGTAAGTCGTGGCATAAATTTAATCACTAAAACTAGAGATAAAATGATGACGATTCGTGTAAAAAAATTTTAAGAAAATAATCTAGAGTTTTGATTTTGTACTTTTAAACCGGCCCTTGGCCATCTTCAGACACTCTACAAATGGATTAACATCTCTCATCTTATCCATTTTACAAACAAGTTTCTTAACATTTCTTTTTGTTTTGTCAAAAAAGATTACGTATCGAAGTCGAAATCAGATTATTATTTACTAATTTACAAAATTAAAGTTTAAAAAGTTGTAAAATGAAATGAAAAGAATGAATATGAATAAAAATGAAAGTGTTACAAGTTTACAGGTTAAAATATAAGAACGCTTTGTTTTAACAAAAGAAATATTAAGAAACTTGGCGCCCTTAACAAAACGTCGCGCCTTATTTCTTTATGTAGGTAAGATGAAGGCGCGACGTACGGTCTGGAACACACCATCTGTTCCGATTGGACGGAACCCTCCTCTCCTCGCATAGGTTATTTCTGTTTCTCTTTAATTTATAATTTCATTAAATCGCTCTTAAAAAATTAGGAAGCCCAAATTTTAGAAAACTGATAACGGAATCCGACAACCAACATTATTTGACATATTTTGATAAAAACCGCGTTGAAATCCGCCAGGTCGTTTTCGAAATAACCGCATCCTACCAAACCGCGATTTTCCGCGAAACTATATGGAATATCGAAAAAATAAAGTATGCCCCACATTAAGAACACATCAATTTACCACCAGATCAAATTTGAAATTTTTTCGTCCAATAGTTTTGGAGAAAGAAAATCGTAAAGTAGACAAAGTTGCTGGCACTCCCAAAAATCGGGTACTTTTTTCACTTAACTCGCGGTAAAAGAAAAACCGCGGACCCGAAAATTTCCAAATTAACATGTCATACGCAGAAATGTTCAATGATTACAATAAACTTTACCGTAATTTCTTTCATGGAGCGGTTACGAAGAAATCGATGTCTAAAGTGAGGGGCCTTGACTTTTTGCACGGATAGTAGATTAAAATGAATACAAACACGACATATTTATCTTCAATATTAATGAAGTTATGGTCAACTTCCGGTTAAGAATGTCAACGTTAATTTTGACATATTTGTAATCGTCGTGAAAATCCTTTAAAATAAGTCCAAACATGATATGTTTAATTCCAATATTACTCGAGATATAAGCAACTTCCGGTTTGAAATGTCAATGTCATTTTGACATATTCTTCAAGACGGCTAAACCCGAATGATTCTAGTTCTAGGTCTTGTGTTAGTTCTAGTTTTACACTAGCATTATCACTAGAACTAACACATGGTCTAATGTTAGTTCTAATGACAGTGCAAGTGTAAAACTA